ATTTAAAATTATTATAAATAATTTTAATTATTAAATAAAATTGCAGGCAAATTTGCCTGCAAAACACTTGAAGGGATTATAGATATAAGAATGAATAGATGGTAATTATATTATAACAAAGCAATAATTAGTATATTATAACTCAAAATTTTCAATTATTTTTAAAATTAATTAGTAATTTCTGTTTTGTTCGTACAAGAAATGACGTGCGTGATGATGTCTCGTAACACCGATTACGAAAATGATTCTATTATAATTATTACATATTTGCAGATCTTTTACTTTTTTATATGTGAATTTCAGTTAAAATATTTATAGTAAGAGAAATTGCTGAAAAAATATTAATTTAGTCAATTTTTAGTACAAAAATATACAAAAATAATGTAATGATATCAATTTCTAAAGTAAAGTGACACGCATGACGAATAAAAATATGATTGACGCGTGACGTCGTCACGCAGGAGAGATAATAAAGAATATTTGATTTGAATCTTTAAAAATTAAAATTCAAAGAAATTTTAAGCATCAGATTTTTAGGAAAGAATTTAGATCAAGCATAACTTGTATAATTTCAATAAAAGGTCAAAAATACCGGAACTCACCAAATTTTCATTGTAAAAGAAATATTTAAATAAAATTTCATATTACTATATAAATTCGTTATAGTTCATTCACACTTACAAACCGACTCATAACCGGTATAACGAAGTTACTTTTAACCAAAAATTCACGATATATTTGTGGCGTTGTTTGGTAAATATACTACGAATGACACAATAACTAAACAAATGAAGTAGAGTAGGAATTCCAGCGGATTAAAAAGCGCAAGTAACTTTGGTTGATCTCCGACATCTCTATCACTTGATAAGGATTTGTTGCGTATGCAAAGAGATTAAGGATTGACATGATACATGGTAAACCCATGGGTTTTTTATAATGATCGTGTCAAATTACCAAATCAGAAATTCTTGCATGATGCTTCTTTTCAAGTTCAAAACTTTGGACATCCTTACCATTTCAGAGTAAGGAGTGTTGTTAATTGTTTCGTGGCTATCATCTTATTTTCTCATATTCGTTGACAGTCAAGTTTGAGGCTTTTTGCTTTTGTTCTGCTTTACCTTAATTTGATTGGATAAAATGACTACTTTTTTGGTCAGTTGATGTGGTTTTTACACACTGTATCTTGTGAAATCTGCATAAAGGAGTCATTGAATGTATGATATGCCTAATTTTTAATGTGTAGATCTCTAATATCCAAATTGGAATGACAAAAGAAAATACAATATAGTTTAATTGGGTCTAACAAAAGAAAATGTTAGTTATGGTTTAGTTATCTACCTAATTTGTTTAGGCTTAGTCCAAATATGTGAAGCAACCCTAGTAAAAGGTTTCATTATGTCCCAATAAAATTATGTAATGTGTATGTGAGGCGGTTTTACTCGCATCTAAATTTATTTTTACCAAATTCGAAGACAATAGCATATCATGAGGCTTTACAAGGGATAAAATAAGATTGCGCTTGAACAAATTTCAATGGCAAACATCTGAATTTTACTTATTGGAATTTCACACGCAAAAAAAAAAACTTGATTGTATCTTGTATAAAGTTGAGCCATCTTCTTGTGTAACAAGCGAGCAGCGGTCATCCCTCGTGATCATTCCCGTTTTTTTCTTATATATTACGTAAATTCGATTATCATCACCCTTTTTTTTTTATAAAAAAAAAAAAAACCACATCTTTTTGATCTCTCTTACGAATAAAAAAAAAAAAATATTTTTTTTTCCTTTTTTTATTCAAAAATAAACGAGAAGAATAATATACCCTTTCATTATCTTTGCTTTAAAATCTTAAAATAATGTCGGACGATAACTTACAAGTCGATTCCTTTGTTAGAAGACCCGGTCTGGGACGGGAGGGACGATCAACAAGAGTCCGTGCAAATTTTTTTGCCGTTGATACTTTTACGGACGCAAGCATCGTCCACTATGACGTTATCATAACACCGGACGTTCCTCCCGCGTTAAATAAAAGGGTCTTTCAGGAATTTGAGGAGTTACACCGCGCGGATGCTCTTGGAGGTATAAGGCCGGTTTATGACGGTATGTATTAATCAACTTTAGTTTTGTATTTTTGTTTTCGATTGTATTTAACCTTGTCAGAAAAAGAAAGAAATATGTTCATAAATCTATTTATTAATATTAATTTGATGAATATCAAAATATATACCTCCCCTATCATCTTATAGGGAAAAAAAATATGTTTGTTCCAAAAATGTTACAGTTTGGTGGTGCCGGTACCTTCGATGTAGATATCATTTTTTTTCCTTTTTGGCCTTTCCCTCTTGGTTGAAAATTCTGATAATATCTTTAACTTATCAAAAACAGGTAACGTTACCTGAAGAAGGCCCCGTTACTGTAAAACGTCAGCCTAACGCTTTTAAGGTAAAGTTACGAATGTCCGGAGACATTAATATGGCAGAACTTCATCAATTCCTTAATGGAAGGGGTCCCTTGACCAACAATTGTTTAACTGGTAAGTCTTTCCCTTTAAAAGGAAGGAATCTAAGGTTCATTAGAATGAAGTTTATAATTTAAAATCTTATGATTATCATCATTTTTTACACAATTAGGTATTATGGCCCTTGACGTTCTCGTCCGTTATCGACCTTCATTAAGGTACACAACCGTTGGTCGATCTTTCTACACGCATCAGGGGGCTCGACCCATATCTGGAGGCGCAGAAGTTTGGCAGGGATATTATCAATCGGCTCGTCCGACTAAGGGTCGAATGATGATCAATATCGACTTGAGTGCTACCGCCTTCTTCGAAGGTGGACCGTTGATACAATTGATCGTGAAAATATTGGGTCGTCGAAACCCTGACGACTTCAGAAGAGGCTTAATCGATAAAGACAGGCAAAAGGTTGAGAGGGCCATCAAGGGTCTAAAAATTAGAGTGATTCATCGTGGAGATATTAAACGTAAATATAAGATCGAAAAGATCACACCAACGCCTGCTTCCAATACCAGATTTGAAGCTAATGGTACCGAGATCGACGTTGCCACGTATTTTCATGATACGTACCACAAGAGGCTCAATTTCGCACATCTTCCTTGCATTGTCGTAAGGAGAGGTGTGTGTCTTCCAATGGAGGTTTGCGAAGTTGTGGAGGTATTTCTTTTTCATTATTAAAATTAACAGACCACGTGATTAGATATTGTAATCGTTTAAAAAGTCTATAATCTCTCCATATTAAATTCTTGATGATGCCATTTATTTCGTATAATAGGGACAGCGTCATGTACGAAAACTTAACAAAGATCAGGTCCAGGACATGATCAAATTCACGTGCCAACCTCCGAATATGCGTGCTAATAAAATCCGACAAGGTTTAGACATCCTTGATTATCGCGGGAATGAATACTTGCAACAATTCGGGATGAGAATTTCGAACGAAATGGCTGTGGTAAGTAAGAAAAATAAATTCACGTTGTTATAACGTTTAATAATAATGATGTCATTGTATAGGTGCAAGCGCGTATACTTCCCACGCCAACCATCCAATACCATCCATCCAGCCGTGATCACGAATTCAAGCCACGTGAGGGGGCCTGGAATCTTCGAGATAAGAAAGTAGCAACTGGTGCTACTCTTGGTTCCTGGTCCGTATTGGCCTTTGGAAGTGAACGAGATCTTCCACCGCAAGCCATTCAGGCGTTCGTTAGGGAATTGGTTAATACCTGTCAAGATACTGGAATGGTAAAATTTTATAAAATAAATTTATAATTTTGGTTTTTTAGATTCTAATTCTAAATTGGATCGTTTATTTTTTTATTTCAATTTAGAACATTCCGAATAAGACTCCCCCTATAATGCACGCGAATCCCTTGGGTAACATTGAAGAAAGTCTTAAACAATCCTGGTTGAAAGCCGGTAACACCGCTAAGGCGCAACCTCAATTAATCCTCTGCATATTACCGAATACTGGTGTACCATTGTACGCCGAGATTAAAAGGGTTAGCGACACTGTTATCGGAGTCGCATCACAATGTGTACAAATGCGCCATATGTTGCAGGCAAAGAAGCAATACTGCGCAAACGTTTGTTTAAAAATGAACGTTAAATTAGGGGGAATGAATTCATTCTTGAACCCTACTCAGATTCCATTTATTACAGAAAGGCCGACTATCCTGATGGGTGCTGATGTTACGCATCCCGCTCCTGGTAAATTGGAATTCTATACCATTCATTAATTTTCTATCTCGAAGTTTAATTTTCTTTTTTTTGCATCTTCTTTAAATGTAGGCGACACTGAGCGTCCCTCAATCGCGGCTCTTTGCGCATCCATGGATGCGAAGGCATCTAGATATGCCGCATCAATTCGAGTCCAAGCTGGACGAACGGAAATTATCGCTGATTTAGCAAATATGGTCAAAGAGTTGCTAAAAACCTTCTATCAAACGTGTGGCAGAAAACCCGATCGGGTTCTGTTTTATCGTGACGGTGTCTCCGAAGGTCAATTTGGAGCTGTCTTAAAGGAGGAAATTAATGCAGTGAGAGGTAATGTTATTTGACCTATTTGTGCTTTTTCGTCATATTTCATTTATTTATATTAATTGGATTAAAATACTTTAACAGCTGCGTGTCAGGCTCTGGACATTACTTATAAGCCAACCATAACGTTTGTTGTTGTGCAAAAACGTCATCACACACGATTTTTCCCGTTAGAAAAGGGAGATTCAGATCGGTCCGGCAACTGTGCACCTGGAACAGTGGTAGAGTCGGAAATTACACACCCGTTTGAGTTTGACTTTTGTAAGTTTTAACTTGGAAATAATTTATTATTTTTTTTTTTTTTGCAAGTGATATTAATATTACCGGTTAATACCCTTATTACAGATCTGCAGAGTCATGCTGGATTGCAAGGCACATCTAGGCCGACACATTACCATGTTCTATATGACGAAAATTCCTTTAACGCTGATATGTAAGTCACCTTTTCTATTTGAATGATTTATATTTTCGATTTTCCTAACTTTATATAATATTTAGGCTCCAAACTTTATCCTACAACCTGTGTTATCTGTATGCACGCTGTACTCGTGCTGTATCATTGGTAAGATTTTATCGAATTTTTATGCTTTCGTTTGTCAATACGTCAATATGGAGTTAATGATGATATATTGTATAAAATAGGTCCCTCCGGTGTATTATGCACATTTAGTTTGTAGTCGAGCGAAGTTCCATTCTCGTGGTGAGCATTGGAGCGACACCGAGTCATCAGAAGAAGGTACAGGTGCCGCTTCTACCTTTGGGGTAGTTAAACCCGAATTACAGAGAGTAAGTTATAATTAAAATATTTCGTTTGGGCTTGCTTTAATATTTATATTTCTAATTTGAAAATAATCCTTGTAGGTAATGTACTTTATGTAAATTCTATGAAACAAAGTTAAGAAACGAAAATCATGATATCTATTTAACGAGTAAAGTTAATCTTTATCTTATCTCTTACTATTGCGAAGTTGATTCAGTATTATGGATCAATAAAGAATCAAAACTACATTTATAGCTTCATCAAACGACTTATATATAATAATGGGTATTAAATAATAATGAATGCTTTAAAATATTGAAATATAATTGGTTACGACAAATTATAGCTGTATTTGGTTAAACATTGAAAAAAAAACACTAAAAAACCTTTATCATCATTCACTGTATAAATTTTTTTTTTTTACCTTTTTTTTACTTAGAAAATATATTTTTTATATCTATTTTTTTTCATTTAAAAAAAAAAAAAAAAAAAAAAATTTCTAAAATCAAAAAAAAAAAAAAATAAAAATAAATAAATTTCTTTACAAAAATCGGAATATTGTAGTATTAAGTTTTTATTAATCCGTATTAAAAATAAGAAATTCTTTTAGATTGTATAGCTTTTTTCCATCTTTTTTACCATTTTATTTGAGTGATTTTCTTTAAAATATATATGATTTTTATTTTTTAAAAGCTTCAAATCTTTTTTCTTATGAAATTGGCAACAACAATAAAAATTCTTCGATCTTCCGATTTTCAACAAGCTAAAATTCGTAGTATAATCAATGTTTGTCCGAACGAATTTTAGCTTTTGGCACCAGTTTTTTTTTAGCTAGATTGATTAAAACAAAATTGGAAATCATCTTGTTTTAACATTGAATTTTGAGCTTTTAAAGTTAGGTTATGATTTTAGTCATTGTTTATTGTGTGTATTTTAAACCTTACCATATACATTTATTTATAATATATATTAAATAGGAATAATTAATCATCGCCTCCT